GTGTGGGAGGCGTGACGGCCACGAGATCATTGGCAGAGCTACTGACGGTATAGATGGCGGCGATCCGAATATTAGTGTCGGCGAAGGTCTGTTGTGGACTGAATTCTGGTCAATGGCCGGCTGCGGCGATCAACGACCTCGGCCGGCCGGTCAACTGAGTCGTCGGAAAACGGGGTAACCGAAAAACGTGGTCGCCGGCGACCGGTACCGGTGACCAGCTGCCGAAATATTTATTTTATTATTAATTTATTTATTATATTATTAATTTTAATATAATATTAATTTAAGTATAATAATAATAATTTTTTATTATTTAATTAATGTATTTTTTAATTGACTAATGTGAGCTATTGATCTACACAAAATCGATGGCTAAGATTGAATCTTACGTCCTCATTTTAAGAGTTGTCCTCATTCGATCCACCCATATATATATATATATATAGGAAAAGGTTCTTATGTATTATAACCTAACCATATATATATATATATATATGAATTATCATTAGTTGCTCTCCCATATGTTTTGAACACAACTCTCGGTCTAAAAAAAACAAAAGAACACACTTTCTCCTCTCTTATTCCATTCATATACCAATTGAAGATCGAGATAATTTTCACTAGAGAAGAGATTGATCCCGGAGTATTAATCCAAAAGGTGGACTTACTTCTAGGGGAGTCGCATAGATCCATACGGCGAGATGAACGAAGTTGATGATAGCCATATACCCGGAAATCGATTCTCTCTTCGCCGTCGCTTAGTTAGAAAAAAATTAAGGTAATTTTGAAAATTCATTACAAATCAAAATTCGTACTATTACGTGATTTTAAAAGATATCGACCGTTACAATCGCTTTGTGAGCCGACGGAGTTAGTATTTATTCGGTAAATGTTTGTTTATTTCGTTTAATTTTCGCTGCGTTTTACCCCGTACGATATAGCGAACCCAACAATACCATGCCCCCACTGAAGAAGACGATGCCTGCAATACGAGGAATCAAGATCTCAACCAAGAAACGCTTGCTCTCAGCCGAGAAACTCTTGCTCTGAGAATGAGAGAATATTCAAATATCGCTATCTCATGCATACTTTTCTACTCTATTATTTCTTTTTATTTTTTATTTTATTTTATTATTTTTTTTCCAGATAGCATACTTTTCTACTTTATTATTTCTTTTTATTTTTTATTTTATTTTATTATTTTTTTCCATGGATACGATCTTATAGCCACATAAGAATCTATTTATATTTTCCATTTTTTCAATTTTGAAAGATTTTGAGGATGTTCAGATATGAAAGAAACAAAACAATAATAGAGAGTAATAATCTATATCTATATGTATATATTGAAAGAGATTGTCGGAATAATCTAATATGGTAACTTTGACTTTTTAATTAATTGGTTGACTTACTATTAAAGGAAACATAATAAAAATTATTTTAATATATTTGAAAAAAAAAAATCAAATATACCTACATGTTGCAAATCATGCAATTAGTTTAATAACATGACTTTCTATATAAATAAAGTAGTATCGAATTTAAAAATTCTTTTATGATTATCACAATAAAATTAGATTCTTTATATTAATTACGAATCACTATAATTTTTTTTATTTTTTTTATAACCAACAATATACTGTGATTTTCTACAATATATTTTTTTTTTTCAAAAAGGGTCTATTAAATAGGTTTCATTTGTAGGAAATATTATTTGAATATGCTTGATATGAAATTGTGAATATAATTATAAAATAAAAATTGAAATCAATTATGTCGACCTGACATGTAAATTATTAGTTTATACAGAAAAATTTAAATATTTATAATATATATTGTTACAAATTATGATGGAAAACCAAATGATCGTCTGTCGAACTATCCATGTATATTATTAACTTAGAAAAAAAACAAATATTTGTAATGCATACTGTTATAAACTATAATGGTAAACTAATAAGTGATCTATCAAACAATTATGTAAATTGTCAGCATAAAAAAAATAAAAAGTATTTATAATGTCTATTACGATTAATTTTAATTATAAGCTAGTCAGTGAGAAACTGTCATATAAATTATTAGATTAGAATGAAAATTTAAAATACTTATAATATACATCATTATAGATTATAAAAAAAATATTATTAATATAATTAAAAATTATTAAATGTTTTAACTTGAAAATAATATACATTAATGTCACTTTCAATTAATAGTTGGTTATAATATTTGCCTCAATTTTTTAATTTTAGGATAACTTATTTTGGAATTTAAATATTGTAATAATGTATGAGTAAGGGAATATAGAGATAGAAGTATTTTGTGGATATTATTAACTGATAATGTTTGAATATGTTAAATTGTCATCCCCCTTAATATAATTTCAAAACGTACTGAGCCTAAATGGCTGGCTCGCACGCTTCGGAAGCTTCTTTGTCAACATTACATGCTTCGACTTTTAGTTTGGATAAAAATTATTTTTGCTTAATCCGATCCCCTCTAACTCCAAAATAAATAGGATTCTTATATGCCGTGTAAATAGGATTTTTTGCTTAATATTATAATATATTTTTGCGTAATATTTGCCAAAATCAGTGTGAAACTATCCATATTGAACCACAAAAATTACACGGGTTAAGAATCCTATACCAATATTATAATATATTTTGGCTTAATCCAATCCCCTCCATTCCTAATTGTTTAAAATAAAATACTTAATAAATAGGATTTTTGTTTAATTCGATCCCTTCAAACTCCAAAATAAATAGGATTTTTACATGCCGTGTAAATAAAATTTTTGCTTAATATTATAATATATTTTTGTTTAATCTTTGCCAAAGTTAATAACTTTTATATTTTTTATCAGTTTTACAAATATATTATATCAAATTAATCATCTCTTGATGAGTTTCGATTTAACATACATATTGTATGTATAAAAAAAAAATATATTTATCTTTATAACAATAATAATTTTTTGTAATATTAATTAGGAAAATAAAATTATTTATCAATTAATATATTTATAAACAAAAGGTAATTCATTAGAAACATCTCTTTTTTTTTTAATTATTATTATTAATAATTAAACCGTACGACCTCTCTTTAAAAGTGGGATCATATACAATCTTGTCGATAACAGGCTGTTTAAACATTTATATAAATTATTATATTTATTGACTTTAAATCTACCTTGTTCTTGCATCTTGTAGGTATTCAAATGATGGATAAAGAAAATGCAAAACTTATTAGTCACATTAGAATGGCGAAAATGAAAGAAAAGCATTGACTATCTCCTGCAGGCAAGCCAAACCTCTCGGTCAGCTTCTATTTAATCTTTTAGGCGAAGAAGTGATTGTTTCGGGTGAGTATATTTTATGGGAGTACACAACTAATTTTTTAAATGTAATAAAATGCTTTGGGGTTCCTAATCACATCTTAAAATTGAAAGTTGGTATTCCTGTAATGTTGCTTCGAAACATGGATCAATCTTCTGGATTGTGTAATGGCATTAGGTGAGTGATCACTCGACCATTCTTTTATTTTTTTTTTTGGTATTTATACATTCCTAAATCTTAACTAATTTAACATCTATCATTATTGTAATGTTTTTACTTTTTAATTAAAAAGAAAAACTGATAACTTTAATAAATAATTATTATTTATTTTATGGATTGTGTAATGACACCAGGTTAGTCATCACTCGACTTGGAGATCGCATTGTTGAGGCTAAGGTTCTATCGGGAAGGAATCTTGGGAGCAAAGTACTTATTCCGCGATGTTATTGACTCCTTCTGATGTGAGATTGCCTTTCAAGTTTCAACGAAGACAATTCCCACTTATGGTTTGTTTTGCAATGACTATTAATAAGAGTCAATGACAGACATTATCTAACGTGAGATTGTACTTGCCTAATCCTATATTTAGCCATGGTCAACTTTATGTTGCATTATTTAGAGTTAAAAGTAGGAAATGCTTGAAAATTCTATGTTGCGATAAGGATGGAAAAATTGTAAATAAGACTATTAATGTNATTTAAAATAATATCGACTTTGGTATTTTCTATTTTTGTACTTTTATACGACAACATGTGTTTTTTCTATTATTTTATGTTTTATATTTTTTTTTTCAAACAACCTGTGTAGTACACAGATGTGATACTAGTTATCCTTAATTCTAAACAAGAACTCTAAAATGCAATATATTTATAAAAGGTGAGATAAATATATAACTCACATGTTACATTATTATATATCACAAAATAAAAGGAAAAAAATATTACAATTCAAAACTATTTTTATACCAATCAATATTCTTTCACGATTTTAATACATTTAATTTATAATTATTGCCTCATGCACCACGCGGACCTACGTACTAGTTAATATATGAAAGATTAGCCCCATTAATCACATTTCTCCGTAATATAAGGTAATACAAATATTTTTGCTATATATGATGATTTCGTTTTAGTGAAACATAAACCAAATAATTTCATAAAATTGGAACAAAAAATTCGAATAAATGATAAAGAATTTTTTTGATCGTCTTCTAGAAATAAAAAAGTTAAAGGGTCCGTCCTATACGTTATTTTATTTTATTTTATTTTTTTTCAAAATTAAAGCATGGTTTTTGAATAAATGTGACCTTAGTGGACTGAAAATGATTTCTCGTCCAGAATAATGGAAAGCAACATTCGTGCAAGCCAATTAACACAAAAACACAACTTGTTGAAGCACAATAAATTCACAGGTTCATTCGAATGGTGTATATGATGATGGCCATAAATGTGATGCTGTGAGATCAGTTAGATTTGCGCATTTAAAGAGTCTTAACTACTCCTCCCTCTTAAATGCCCCGCCTGCCCTCCCTTAATAAATGCGCTCCAAAATCCAATTCATAATTAGCCCTCTCTCAGCTCCTACACCACACACACACACACACACACACACCACTCTTCATTTCCTTTCCCTTACGCTTGCATGCCCAAAACTAACAGCCGGCACNTGTGCCAGTAATGGAATTCACTGACCTGTCTCTCTCTCGAGGGCTGTATGAAGACGGGAAAGCTGAAATCGAGACAGGCCTTCCAATGAAGAGGAAATGGAACAGTGAGGCCCCGAGTGTCGATCTTCAGCTTAAAACGCCTTTGCCGTCCGACTGGGAACAGTGCCTCGATCTTCAAGTACACTATTTAACTATTTTCTTTTACTATATCACGAATTATGACATAATTTCTTTAAGTACACTATTTAACTACACCCTTCATGTTTGGGCGCTGTTTGCCATTCTTGAATTTTATTTTTGAGTAAATTACAATTTTAGTCCTGGATGTTTCACTACCTTGACTTTTTTCGTCTCTTCGAATTGCGGTTTTTATTTTCTTTCGTCCCGTATGTTTGCAAAAAGGTTAAAAAAATGTCATTTTCATACATAAGGACGAAATTGAAACCTTTTTTTGCAGAACATAAAGGTCATTTTTATTGCGAAAATGACCTTTTTGTAACCTTCTTGTAAACATACAGGACTTCAAAATAAAAAATGCAATTTGAAGAGAACGAAAAAGTTAAGGAAATAAAACATATAGAACTAATACTTGTTAAGACTCGTACATAAATTACTAAGAATTATATAAAGTTTACCTTGGCATGTCGTTTTGTAAGTAAGTTCGTGGTAATTATTAAGTACAAAACTAGTACGGTGAATGGTATGATATTTTTTTTTTTTTTTTTGATAGTCGGGAAGAATGTACTATGTGAATAGAGAGACGTCGAGAAAGAGCTGGAATAGGCCTCTTGACAAGGGCAAGGAGAAGCTCGAGCTCAATCTCGAGCTCAACATGATGTCATCGGCCAACACGTTTGCCGGGAAAGATGAACCGTCGTCAAATATGGTGGCGTTAGCTTGCTCGAATTGCCATCTTCTTGTCATACTTTGTAGGTCTTCTCCCTCTTGTCCCAACTGTAAATTTGTCCATTCACTTTAGTCCAATTGCTACCCTGCATTGGGCACTCTAGTTAAATAGTATGTGTGGGTCTGATGTATGAGGGTTGGAGTTGAGATATTGGATCATGATGCTTGAGAGACCGGTTGTTTGTAGGGAATGTATTCTCATAAATATAGTCATGGTTTATATGTAACATGTTTCCTTTCCGTATGCGCAGTACTTTTAAAAAATAATAATACAAAAAAAAAAAATAAAAAAATTACCAAGTCACTTATTTAAGCTACAGCTTTATTGTTTCAGCAAATATTTACTCAAAAGTCAAAACTATATATTAACCAACTTAATTTGCCCAAAATTTATGAAGAGGCAGAGCCGAAATGGTAAAATATACCCAATAATTTGATTTCAATAACAGTTGATGTAGCACTCAGAATAGCTCGGCGGACCGACTTTAGCGGGTAGCTCGGTTTGGGCCAGTCGAGAGGAGCTGTAGCTCGATGATTGAAGACGACCAAGTCAAGGAACTCGGGGATGTAGCTCAAGGTGTCGACCTGAAGAAATGATCTAGAAACCGCAACCTCTAGGAGTTCCCATATGAAGAGTGACAGCAAGGTGTCGAGGTTCATGTAAGGAGGCCATCAGGGGTCGACCTCGGCTAGAATACAACAAAAAGGTTCGTGGTTACGACCTAGGGACCTAAGAGCGTGCAAGACATGGGGAAAGAATCTTAATAAGAAGGAAAATATAACTTGCTAAGGATGTTGGGGTCTGTGACGAACATCGATTGTCGTGGTTTGAATCGATTGAAAATCTAAGAAACGAAACCTATGTGCAGCAGAACTAACAATCGAATTCCAAACTATGATTTAAAATTTTACTGAGTCTGTATAGACAGCAGAACTAACAATTGAATTCAAAACTACGATTTAAAATTTTACTGAGTCTGTATAGACATACATGGGCTATGGGACAGGACGAACTATTATGAGTTCTTCTTCACACCAGACTTCTCGTCTTCTCACCTCGTTGTTGGTTGCATCATATCTTGTACATTGGACCGCTGATCGCCAAAGTTGTCTTGCGTCGGGTTGCCAATCGTAGTGGATCGCTTGTCGCGTCGTCGTCGTGCCTGGTTGGAGCTGAAGCGTGTATCTGTAGTGATGCGCCTCCGTGCGTGGCTACCGTTCGTCACCTCGTTGCCTCACCGTGTCATGCTTCGCCGATCGCTGGGTTGCGTAGCCTAGTCAGGGTCTCTGTGCGAGTGTATCATGGGGTTGCCTCACGTCTGGCCTTACCGCATCACTGGTGGTCGCCGTGGCCGGTGCACCACTGCGTACGGTTCTATGCAGTGGACGGGACTGCCGAATATGGTTGCCATTGGATGTGTCGCAGGGACATATATATTTGTCGGAACACGAACATACGACCATGAGATCATCTATTGAAGGACTAATCATTGCTCCAAGTTGTCTTGCGGGGCGACTCGCGAATCTTCCAAAATCCTCCCAAAATTCACACATATATTTTTCCTCTTGTTGCTCACAGTTGTGGCCGATCTTATTTACTTTAGAATTCCAGAAATTGATGCGTGGAACTCTAATGGAGGCTAAGGGACTTGGTGTATTTATAGACTACAATAGGGACTCTAAAAGGGTTCTAAATATGAAATCGTCAAGTATGGATCTAACTGGGAGGCAAACCCACTCTGTTCATCTTGAATAGTATTTGATACCACTATAAAAATATTTCTAAACTCCCCATTTAGCCCTCGAATAAAAAATAATTTGTCTCCCAGCTAACTGATCGATTTACTCCCCATGTTTAAGATATATAACGTTCGTTGATTAATTTAATTACTGACATTATAATTAAGTAACTTCTTTATTTGAAACAAGTACCACTCAATATTTTATTATTATGTCGGAAGTTAATCCCCCGACCACGCTTGACATAATAATCCTTCTTGAGCTCATTTTGGAGACGTCATCTACCCGTTGGACCAGGAAACAGTGATCGTAAACAGTTTCAACGATACATCATGTAGTCGACATCACTTACCAAAATACATAGTCCGTCAACCTAGCTAACAAAATAGGTCTCACCCTTGGTAAATCAAATAAGTGTGTACTGAATACGTATGTCAGTTTATTGTCTTATGGGATAAGAGAACGCAACAATCACTGAGGTCTGGATTAGTTACTTGGTCAGTATAAATAAACTTATCCTCCATAAGTTCGTTCAATACATTTGAGATGTACTAGTGTAATTCGTTAGTCAAAGATCAATTAACTTAAAAATCACACTACAACATTTCACGACAGTTAGTTCAATTTTTTCTAGGCTGTGAAGAAATATTTATATTTTACAAGGAACAGATAATATGATCTTTATGTTTGACATATTGAACCATATTATTTATAATGTAAAGTAAAAAACTATGTTCGCATAAATAAATAAATAAACAATGAACATATACTTGACTAAAAACATGAATCTCATTCAAAATGGAATTGAGAGTAACATATGTTGTGTACAAATTGTTTTTAAATTACCGAGTATCGAATCAAAAGATTAGTTCCCCGGGTCGATCTCACGAGGAAGGCGGTTCAGAATTCAGCTTTGGTATCGATCACACATAAAAAGAAAATAAATCCTAAACACTTTAATCAGATAAAGGGGTTGAATAATTACTAACTAAGAAATAATTAAAAGCAATAATCTACCTAAAAATGTGAACAGAACAAAGATGGAGAAGCTAGGGAATCAAGGATAATTAATTCAAGTTCTACTCGCAAAACCGGGACATTAATCGTTCTATTCCAGATTGACACTCTTGCTTAAACATCTAGCGGTTCACTCCCAATAACTCTTCGTAACAAGGGATTGAACATAGACGAACAAGCTCGAGTATACAACACAGGCCAATTATCCCAATCCCAATAATTTTTCGTAACAAGGGACGGGGCATCGACAAGCACGTATTTCAATCCAAGATATATAGACTATTCAGTTACGAAATCATCTATCTCATGCGAGCCTAGGTCTACGACTTCTCCCCTTTCGGTTCTAAAAGTCGTTAATTCAATTAGAAGGTGTTTAATCAACTAATCATATAGAATGAACTAACACTAACTCGACAAATCAATATCCAATCGTTACTAATTGCAAGATCGAAGTGTCACCCTTCGATTATATCAAACTATCAAGCACAAATTCATCAATTCCGAATTATAATAACTCACATAAGCATGAACAAATCAAGCCCGACAAATACGATTCAGACAAGAATAATCATCCCTATCCCTAGCAGAAAGAATTAGCTACGTCTAACGAATTCAACACACATAACCATTACTCTCAAATTAACCATTATTCATGAATTAATAAAGAGAGAAAAAACTTACAATAAATCCAAATCTCAGTTGTTGAATCCAAAATACAAAGCTTAATCCTTGATAATAATAAAAAAGAAGAAGAAAAATGGAGAAGAAGGATGAAAAGAAGAGAAAAAATGACGAAGAAGAAGAAAAGGAGGAGAAAGGGATATTTCGTGTTTTTCCCGACCCTAGGTTTTCACCCAGGAGGGGGAGATTTTTTTTGATCGCGATCCCTAGCGCATATATATAGAAAAACATGAGTCACGGCGTGGCAAAGTATGGCGCGGCGCGAAGGGAGTGGCTGCCGCGGACATCTCGGGCTCGTTTGGACTCATCCGAACTCGGAATTGAGTTCCGTTTTTTCCTACGCGCAGCTAACGAACCCCTCTATCTAACTATGTAATCCCAGCACATATTTTCCAGAAAACGTGTCCTCCCAAAGCTTCCGACCTGTACACCAAAAATGAAAGAAAAACGAAGGAAACCGGAAAAACACACGAAAAACACAGAAATACTCACAAAGACGCGAAACACGAAATAAACGACAAAAAGACTCTAAAACCACATAAATGACTCAAAATGGGGGAAAAAGAACGAGAAAATAGACACGAAAAACGTAACAAAAATGGGACAAACAACACAAAGTCGAGTTTCTACAATATACTCCAACAATCTCCCATTTATAGGTTAAAGCTTTCAGCTTTTCTAAGTATACAATCCTTCAATCTTTATTCTCAAATAACTCTTGTCCTAACTGCTATACATAATTCACCAGAAAAGGAATATTTATTATTTGACCCATATCCCGACATTTCAGACTCTCAATCCCTTAACATGTCCATCATCTCCTTTTTTCCAGAAAGCCACTTGTCAAAAGGAACTAATTGGTCGTCTATTGATGTTGATGTAACTAGGTGACAAAATTTCTACCCCTTTGTGATCTTTCGCATTGGGTCGTACTTGACCTATGCAGTTAATTGCGTTACGAACTTGTGATTCCTTCATGTTATGAATTGCACCAACTGTCATACAATCACACTGTGACTTGACATGGAAAAACCAGGATTTCACGCTCTTAGTCCAATAGAGGTTCTCAGAGTCAAACATCTTCTATCCCTTGATTTTCATCCTGCGATGTACTGAATTTCATGGTGGAACCAGTCAATGAAATACCATTTGATATTCTTCCAAATTGTTGGTTCCACCACACAAGTAAACACAAATCTTGAGGTAGATTTTACTTATTGTTGACGTCTGTTAGAAATTAGAATCTTTCGTAACCAATAGGCTACATATGGTTCATTTGATAACCCAACATATTATTCTTAGTCCAATTATGGAACTTGACTATATGTTTTACCACAAACCAATGCACAGGTTCTAGGATTATTTCGATATCTACTAGCTATGCATCCAACAATAGTAGATATAAGTCCTCATTTACCGCATTGCATGCATTGGGCCTTTAATTGCCGAGCAAAAGAAACTCCCACTGTGTCTGTTATCTCTTTAGACTTCTATTACGAGATATTTTTTGGTTCAACAGAAAACGTTGGTTATTATTTTCTAATCGAATACCTAAGAAATTAATTCTAAGCGCAACAAAAAACAAATGCTTTGGATCAAGATCTTACAGTTTCACA